TGTGTATGTGCACAGAAGCCACAAGATAAACATGGTGCATTTTCCTAGATCATCTTTACTTGATGTTTTTTTGGGAGAAAAGAGTAGGTAATGCAAAAACACTTTTTATATTAAAACAGATGCAGATAATATTGAATAGAATATAAAATGTACATTACTTTTGAGACAAAGTACTTTTGACAAAGACATTTCAAGCTAAGCTACTCACGAGCTTCAGGTTGTATCACTAACCCTGAGCGGGAGAAGACCCTGCATGCTCACACTACCTAACATCATGGCCTCTGCCGCATTGATAGAAGTCTAAAAGCAGCAAATTCAGTGCTTACTCATTTGGCAAAGTACCAGTGAATTACTTAAACAAGTGACAGTTTAGGCTTTCTCAACTTAGGAGCATTTCACCTGCTGTTAAAAGGCCTGAGTAAATAGGAGCTTTATGCTTGAGTTGAAAATTTTCCTTCAAAAGCAATTTTCCCCCAATAAGTGTTTTTAACATGCCTAACTGAAGGTATGACATGCGAGCTGGGCAATATCCTAGGAACCGTGTGGACTTTGATCCACATTACCAGATAATGAGTTACAAATACACTTTTCAAGGGTGTCATCAGAAATGAAAACCAAACTACCCACCTTCTGCAGTAACGAAAGGGAAACAAACACTTAGGAGCAGAAGCGTATAGGCAATGGGACCGTAGTGAAGACGGACCTCAGGGGCTGGTGGGTACTGAGCACTTAGGGCTACTGTTATGCTGCAGTATTTGCTTCTCATGTTACAGGAAATCAAGAGCTTCTTTGGAGTGAAAGGCCATCATATTTCCTTTTCAAATCTTGCTTCTGCCTCTCTAACTGTCCTTTTTCTTTGTTGGTGGTGACGATTTTCTCTTCTAGTGTAGCAGAAGGCATGAACACCTCTGCAGAAATCTACAGTAACTCAGCAGCACTGAGAGACAAGATGGGTCAAGTGCTTGGAAGCATGGTGGGAGGTAGACTGGTGGTTGCTGCTGACTTTCTAGCATCTATCTATCCAAGGGAACTCAGAAACTCCCACATGGTATGCCTTCTTCATTTTCTTAACTTTTATAGAATGATTAATTCTTATTGAGATTCTATTCTTTATTTGACAAAGCCCTAACCTGAGACTCGATCAACATGACAACCTGCTTGTTCCTTTAGGAAAATACTTCTATTTTCTGTTTAAAACAAGAATTTGGAGGAAAAAAAAACAGTCCCATTTCAAATAACTAATGGGGAATACCAGTGGTAAATGATATTGTGCTAGGAAAAAGAACAAAAAAGGCAGACACCAATCACCTCCATTTTCCCAAGATTAAATGATTATTAAAAAAGCGCGCCACACTGTATAGAAATCAACATTCTCTCCCATAATTCTGTGCATTGGGACTATGGAAATGTCACTGTCCCTGCTCCACAACTTCAAATTAACATACTCAGGTCACAACAATAAGTCTTTCCACAGGGGACCTTCCGGAAAAACAAGCTGTTTCCTCGGCTCATATTTCCCTGGAAAAGAAAACAAACAGAAAGCATGAAGATGGAAAGCAGCCAATCTAAATTAGCACATAAAATGGGACACATTTCAAGGAGATATGACTGAAATGACTAGGACAAAACTTGGCCCCATCAGTAAGGCTTAGTGACCCTATATTACAAAACTTCCATTAAGCCCCTCTTTTTTTGTTGTTTGTTTTATTGAGACAGGGTTTCTCTGTGTAGCTTTGTCTGTCCTTGAACTTACTATGTAGACCAAGTTGGCCTCAAACTCAGAGATCTGCTTGCCTCTGCCTCTCAAGTGGCAGGAGCCACCACTACTCAGCATATTAAGCTTCTGTTAGCACCAACTTCTTCATATGTGAAGTGTTGAGTGTAGCAGAATAGCACTGATCTTCACGGGGCTATTTTGAGAATGGCATGGGAATTGCTTAGCTTGCTATATGATACACTGCAGGTGACTAATACAGTTTTGTTGTTTTCCTAAGCACATACAGGATCAGTGGTTTCTCAGATAAGGTTTGTCTGGCAACTTGATCCATTTTCTATGTTCTTTCCTCCTACAACAGGGCATTAGTTAGAAATGGGACTGCAGTAGGAGACTGTCCTATAAAAACAATAAAAAAGCTCAGTGGTGAAATGTTTCCCACACTTATGTAAGACTCTGGGTTCAATGACTAACGCCACAAAAAGAAACTGAAAAACAGTGGCAGAGCTCTTGCCTATTATTTGGAAGGCTTTAGGTTTGATCCCCAGCATGCCAAAAAAGCAAAAAGCAAAAAGCAAAAAGCAAAAAGCAAAAAAAAAAAAAAACAAAAAAACAAATTAAAACTTAAGATTGGGGTGTAAAACTCACAAGGAAACCCACAACATTTATGGTAAGTTTATACTGAATTCTCTCAAAGATTCTATCTGGGATTCAGCTGGCATGAACAGTGAGCAAAAGTAACCATAGCAACAACTGGACCTTTTCATTCAGAGTCCAGTCTGGGGAGCCCAAGTTCTGTGAATAAAGCCTTTCTCATCTGTATCCTGGGCTCTGTGAAGTAATGCAACAAAGAGCTTCTTTATATCCTTTCTCTGCAATCCTTTAAAAAGTGCTTGCCACTCAAAACCATCTGTAAAATGATGGCCATTTTAAGTGATCCCATCCATTTTAAGACAGCCCATCCATTATCTTAGTTCTGCATATAACTTTGTCTAGATTGATCAACAATGTTTGGTCAATGATATAGCCCTCAGCAATAACCATAAACCAGTTTTGACAAAGTAATCTACTAACAAAACAGGAAGTAAGCAACTAGTTCTGTCAGTATCACTTTGACAAAATTTTGTCTAATAAATTAAGTAATGACTTATTTTCAGTCTTCACATCTAATTGTGGAAAAAGAAACATAAAAAAGGTTCTGAGGAGTTACAGAAAGGCAAGTTTGTTGGGCTGAGTTCAGTGCAAAGAGAATGTGTTTAGTCTGTGTGAGGTCCTCAGTTCAATCCCCAGCACCAAAATACAGGCAAGTTTGAAATCAGGCTATTACATAACTAGGAGAATTATCTATCTGGACCCTATTTGTAACTTTTATTCAATCACTCAAATGGCTTGTGGTTAACATGTAGGGATTTGTACTTCTTCTTCTTTTTTTTTTTAAGATTGTATTTATTTATTATGTATACAACATTCTGCTTCCATGTATATCTGCACACAAGAAGAGGGCACCAGATCTCATAACGGATGGTTGTGAGACACCATGTGGTTGCTGGGAATTGAACTCAGGACCTCTGGAAGAGCAGTCAGTGCTCTTAACTTCTGAGCCATCTCTCCAGCCCCCAGGATTTGTACTTCTTTACCCCAGCTGGTAATTTCCTTTTTTTTTTTTTTTTTTTTTTTAGACAGGGCTTCCCTGTGTAGTCCTGGCTGTCCTGAAACTCACTCTGTAGACCAGGCTGGTCTTAAGCTCAGAGATCTACCTGCCTCTGCCTTAGAGTGCTGGGATTAAAGGCACACACCAGTGAGTTCTAGGTATATCATATATTTTAGCATTCTACTGGCCAAGCAAATCATGTGCCAGAAGCCCAGAGTCTGTGTAGGGGCAGAGTGGCCTTCTTTGGAGGTCCAGGGCAGGAGGTAAAATGTTTGCTGGACAATCATCCAGTTTACCACAGCGTTGTTCTGTTTAATGAACAAAAGGCGAAAACCCCACTGCCAAGATTTCCTTGTCAGTCTTTCTCCTAAAATACTTCTATTTGTCATTTCCATCTGTTATGAATGAGATGAAATGTGACAACACCTTTGCTTTTTGGCAGAGGGAACAGCTTGTGCTCGGTTTTGATCTCTGTGTATGTAACAGTTCTAGCTATCCTGGAACTTGCTCTGTAGACCAGGTTGGCCTTGAACTCAATGAGATCTACCTGCTTCTGCCTCCCAAATGCTTAGATTTTTTTTTTTTTAAGATTTTTATTTATTTATTATGTATACAGTCTTCTGCCTGCATGCCAGCAGAGGGCACCAGATCTTATTCAAAGTGGTTGTGAGCCACCATGTGGTTGCTAGGAACTGAACTCAGGACTTCTGGAAGAACAGTCAGTGCTCTTAACTGTTAAGCTATCTCTCCAGCTCCCAAGTGCTGGGATTTAAAGGCGTGATTTTTTTTTTTTTTTGGTTTTTCGAGACAGGGTTTCTTTGTGGCTTTCCAAGTGCTGGGATTTAAAGGCGTGATTTTTTTTTTTTTTTGGTTTTTCGAGACAGGGTTTCTTTGTGGCTTTGGAGGCTGTCCTGGAACTAGCTCTTGTAGACCAGGCTGGTCTCGAACTCACAGAGATCCTTCTGTAAAGGCGTGATTTTTTAAGACAGGGTTTCTCTGTGTTGCGCTGGCTGTCCTGAATTCACTCTGTAGACCAGGCTGGCCTTGAACTCAGAGATCTGCCTGCCTCTGCCTCCTGAGTGCCAGGACTAAAGGCGTGCGCCACCAAAGCCCGGCCATAACCACTTTTTTTTTTTTTTTTAAAGATTTTATATTTATATATTATGTATACAACATTCTGCTTCCATGTATATCTGCACACCAGAAGAGGGCACCAGATCTCATAATGGATGGGTGTGAGACACCATGTGATTGCTGGGAATTGAACTCAGGACCTCTGGAAGAGCAGTCGGTGCTCTTAACCGCTAAGCCATCTCTCCAGCCCCGTATAACCACTTTTTTTTAAAACAATTTTTTGAAAAATTCTGTCTGTGGTTGTTTTGCCTACATGAATGTCTATGCAATTTTAACTGTTGAGTGGGTTAAGATTGCATGCTGTGCTGAGTGTTGGTGGTGGATCTCTGTGAGTTCGCCTGGACTACAGAGTGAGTTCCAGGACAACCTGGAACCTTTAGAAGCTACACAAAGAAACCCTGTCACAAAAAAACCAAAAGATTGCATATTATCTAACTAGACCAGATAATTGGTGAGCTCTGGGTTCAGTGGGACTACTTTTATAAATAAAATGGAGAGCCATCTCGGAAGACACCTAACATTAACTTCTGGCTTCCAAATGTACCAGGAAAAAAAACCAAAAAGTACTTACCCACAGTTGTTGACTGCCATAAGATTAGATACAAGCACAAAGGGATATGTCAACATACTGGCAAAGAACTGCAAAACAGCAAGAAGATAGCGGAGTCATCAAACTATTCTCAATCTTCATTACTCCCCTTCTCTCTCCTCAAAGGCCCAGTGCTACAATGCTCAAATATTCCAACAGCAGTCTTGCATTCTCAGCAACCTTGGAATGCTTTTACACAGTTTTGAGCCAAAGGTACCTCTTTTGCCACAACATACTTTTTTTTTTTTTTAATTTACTGTTTACATTCCAGGGAAAAGGGATTTTTTTTGCTTTTGTTTTTCAAGATAGGATTTCTCTGTGTAGCTTTGAAGCCTATCCTGATACTCGCTCTGTAGACCAGGCTGGCCTCGAACTCACAGAGATCCGCCTGCCCCTGCCTCCCAAGTGCTGGGATTAAAGGCGTGCGCTACCAATGCCCGGCACCACAACATACTTCTATATCCAAAATTTTTATCAAAAGGCCAGGAGACTCTTCCTAGGATGGAGGTTTCATTCGAACAAAAGTAAACTATGTACATAGGAGAAAAAGTTTTAAAGTGTTTCAAAGTACCCCTGAAGAGAATAGGAGCACCCTCTCAAAGACAATGGGAACTATTTTAGAAGTCCCATTTTTAGCTGGTGTAATAATGAGTGCTAGTCATCTCAACTACATGGGAGGCTGAAGCAGTTTTCCAAGGCAGGTGAGATGGCTCAATTACAGTAAAAGTTGCCAACACTGATGACCTGAGTTAATACTTAGAAGCAACACAGTGGAAAGAGAGAACTGACTCCCACCCCAAAGTCTTCTTACCTCCTTCCACATGCATGCCTTGGCATATGCACAGTTCCCACAACACAAATATACGAGTACAAAAGGTTCAATTCTCTAAGTGGGACATGAAGGACACAATGTGCAGCTGCCCCTACTCCCTTGTGAAAGCTAATACAGACACACACACACACACACACACACACACACACACACACACACACAGACACACACACACAGACACGCACACACACACACATACACACACACAGACACACACCCACACACACACACACACACAGACACACACACACACACACACACACACACACGGTAAATGTTGCTGTGAGGCAGCAACAATATTATTACCTCTGACAAAGAGTAATCATTTGATGAAGATTTCCAGAGAAACATCTAGCAGCTTTAGAACAGTGATCAAACAGGTCAGATTTAAAAGACCCGCCCCCGCCAAAAAATAAATAAATAAATAAATAAAAAATCAACCAACTAGTCCTAGAAGATTAAGAAACTTACTCCTGTGACAGCTTGGGAATAACTTTTCATTTCATTCATGGTAGAGACCTAAAACAGGAAAAGAGCTTCTATCAGAATGAATCATAGACAAAACAGATAGTAAGCTAAAACTCACAAGTACATCAATATACTCTATCTCTACATTATCAGCTTGACAGAAAGAAAATTAAGAATAAAAACAAAACATTTATGATGAATATAAAAAAGTTGAAGTCAAGGCTGGGCATGGTGATACATGCCTTATACCTAGCACTTGAGAGACAGATACAAGTGGATCTCAAGACCAGCCTCATCTATAAGTTCAGGCAAAACAGGGCTGCATAGTCGGACCCCATCTTAACAAAAAACTGGCAGTCAAGATGACTGACATAGTGAGACACTTTCCAAAGATTTCCAGGGCCAGAGAGATGGCTCAGTGGTTAAGAGGATTGGCATCTCTTCCTGAGGTCCTAAGTTCAAGTCCCAGTAACAACATGGTGGTTCATAGCTATCTATAAACTTAAATAATAATTTTTACTGTATAATATCTGTCTGGCATATATAACAAACTATCATCTTACTTAGAGCTAAAATAGCTGCCAGGTGAATACAAAGAAAGCCCTCTAATCCCAGCATTCAGGAGGCAGAGGCAGGCGGAACTCTGTGAGTTCAAGGCCAGCCTGGTCTCCAGAGTGAGTGCCAGGATAGGCTCCAAAGATACACAGAGAAACCCTGTCTCGAAAAACCAAAAAAAAAAAAAAGAAAAGAAAGAAAAGAAAAAAGAAAGCCCTCACCAGCATATTTTACCAAGGCCATAACCTACCCCACTGTCCAGTGCATAGGTATTGACGAGATAAGCCAGTGAGTTACAGAGCCACAAGGAAATGATGTCACCTAGGAGGCGAGGAATTAGACCCCTACATGAAGACACAGTAAGCAGCAAAAAACTATGATCAGTAAAACAGACAGTCTACTCAGTACAAACACTTCTCAAAGGTTAGGAGATTTAAAACCATTCTACAGGCTTGAACAGGCATCAAACCCCAGAATGTAGCCCTCATTCCAAGTTCAGTCTGGTTAACAGCTGTACTAATGCTGACTTGCAATGACTTTTGTTCCCACTTTTAGAATACAGGTCAGCTATAAACCTCTGAACTACAGCCAATGGCGCAATTTACTATTAATAACTATAACAGGGAGGGCCAAAGATTTGCAAGGTGCTTTGCAGAGGAGACTTAACACAGTTTACTAAAGTATTTGATACCCAAATTTGGCAGGGAAAAAGACGAGGGAGGAAAAAAACCAAAACCAACCAACAAGCAACAAAACACAGTGAGAATGATCCAAACACAGATAGATATCAAAAGCATGTTTCCAGAGGCTAGGGATGTAGCTCAGTGGGTAAGAGTGCTTGAAGCATGAGACCCTAAGTTTGATTCCCCAGTACTATATAAACTGGGTATAATGGCCCATGCATGTAATTCTAGCACTCAGTAGATAAGAGGAAGCAGTTCATGGTAATCTTTTGCCTATATAGAGTTCCAGGACAGAATGGAGCACATGAAACTATGTCTCATTAAAAAAAGAAAAAAAAAAAAAAAAAAAAGAAAGAAAGAAAAAAAAAGGGACATTTAAGATCATTCATTTGCTGCATGGCAGTGCTTGTAAGTGACAGAACTGGCATTCAAACTCTGCTCTTCCGTCTGCAAGGTAATAGTCCCAGTGCTACTCATTTCTCATATAAGCTGGCCTCAAACTTGCTATGTATATAAGGAAAACCTCAAACTCCTGATCCTCTTATCCCTGCCTCTTGAGTGCCAGGATTATAGGCATAGTCCAGTATGCCCAGTTTTACATGTGCTGGAGACTGAACCTAAAGCTTTTTGAATGCTAGGCAAGCACACTACAAACTCAGCTACATTGCAGGCTCATCAATGCTTTTTAAAAATGAGACCAGGGGCTGGAGAGATGGCTCAGTAGTTCAGATCACTTACTGTTCTTGCCTGCTGTGGAATAATCTTTCTGTATACTGTGAAAAGGTGTTCTCATTGTTAATAAAAATTGGTTTTATAGCTAGGTAAATATATTGGTTTATATAGCTAGACAGGATTTTAGGGGCAGAGAGAATACTGGGAAGATGGATGGAGTCAGAGGAGTTGCCAGAGAGAGACAGGGAGGAAATAGGAGGGGCAAGATAAAAGAGTAGTAACGCCACATGTCAGAATGTAGATTAATAGAAATGAGTTAATTTAAGTTGTAAGAGCTAGTGAACAATAAGCCGAGCTATTGGCCAAGCATTTATAATTAACATTAAGTCTCCTTGTCAGTTATTTGGGAACAGGGAGGTGGGAAAGAAAAGTCTACCTACACTTACTTGCCTAAGACCCTGGTTTAGTTCCCAGCACCTACATGGTAGCTCATATGCATGTGCGCGCACACATAAATAAACAAATTTTTAAAATGAGAGTAATGATAAGCTGTCCTTTCTGTTTGTCAGAATACTTAAAATACTCAAAATGGCCTCTGCACATATGTGCAACCAGAACATCCATACATATAAAATAACAATTAAAAGAAAGAAAGAAAAAAAGAATCTGGGGATACTAGTACAACTCAGTGGTAGAGCATGTGCAAAAGACCCATATTTGATTGCTAGTACCACTCAATTATGGAGACACTGAACATGTAAAAGGGTCTGGGCAGTGGTGGCGCACCCCCTTAATCCCAGCACTCAGTAGGCAGAGGCAAAAGGATATCTGTGAGTTCAAAGACAGTCTGGTCTACAAATCAAGTTCCAGGACAGCCAGGACTGTTATACAGAGAAACCCTGTTTCTCAAAAAAAAAAAAAAAAAAAAAAAAAAAAAAAAAAAAAAAAAAAAGAAAATTCTTATTTCAAGCATATAAAATATCTAGGAAAAAAAGCAAAGGAATCTTTACAGCAAGAAATTTAAGTCAGTAGAGGTCTATAAACAGCTTTACATAAAGTAAACCAAGAGAGAATATTATTTTCTACAATTAAACAAAGAGTCCTTGCTCTTATTTTTGAAGGAAGTTTTTCTACTAATACAAAAATCACTTACAGGAACACTCAACATTTACTCACGCAAAAAATCCTACGATGCCTTCTTCCCGGTAGATGGTCATTATGGAGTCACACAGCCCACTAGGCAATAAAAGGAAAGGACACTGATATCACTTAAGCTTTGAGAAGGGAATTTCATACCTTTCCCCAAACAGGGTTTCATTTAGCCCAAGGTGGCCTAAATTTTATGAAGAGGCTGACACTGAACTCCTGCCTGCACCTCCCAAAGTGTCCTGAGACAACAGGTATACCCTAGAACACCTGGTCAATGATCAGTTTTTTTATTTCTTTTTTTTTTTTTTTTTTTTTTGGTTTTTCGAGACAGGGTTTCTCTGTGTAGCTTTAGAGCCTATCCTGGCACTTGTTTTTTTGTTTTTTGAGACAGGGGTTCTCTGTGGTTAATGATCAGATTTGACAAAGTCAAATTTATAACTCCCTTTCCTCACAATTTTCTAGCACTGGTTCACTCTTGCAAAGTAGTTAAAATTCCATTAGAAAATGAAGCTATTAGATTAGAGAGATGGCTCAGTGGTTAGTGGTTAAGAGAACTGGCTGCTCTTCCAGAGGACCCGGGCTCAATTTCCAGCATCCACCTGGCAGCTCACAACCCTCTGTTGAACTCAAGTCTCAGAGGATCTGATGCTTTCATCTGGCCTCTGTGGGCACCAGACATGCATGAGATACACAGACATACAATAAGGCAAAACACTCACATACATTAAAAAAAAAGTGAAGCAATTAAATATGAAGGGCTAGATGGACATTGGTAACGCATGCCTTTAATCCCAACACTTCGGAAGCAGAGGCCAGTGGATCTCTGTGAGTTTGAGGCCAGCCTGGTCCATAGAGTGAGTTCCAGGACAACCAAGGCTACACAGAGAAACCCTGTCTCAAAAAAAACAAAACAAAACAAAACAAACTAAACCAAGTCAAAAAGACGATGACAGGTGTAGTATATGCAGTTTAGAGTGCTTGAGAGCACTTGCTGCTCTTGCAGGACCCAGGTTCAGGTCTCAGCACTTAAACTCCAGTTCTAGGGAATCTGACATCTCTCTGGCCTTTAAGGACACTGACTGCGTGGGGTGCATATATACATATAATAATGTAAATAAAAAACCCCAAACACTTACCAATACTTAGACTCTCTGCCAATGAACTGTACCATAGATCTCAGAGTGATCACTGCAGGACAGAGACAAGACTGTTTTAAGAGCTATGTTGAGAGTCAGTGAGGCAGCTTAGCTGGTAAAGACGCCTGCTGACAAGCCCCACAACCCGAATTTGATCCTCAGAACCTAAGTTGCAGAAGGAGAAAATAGATTCCCAATTGTCATCTCATCTCCACACATGTGCTGTGGAATACATGCCCCTCTTCTGCCAAAATAAATGTAAAACAAACTCTTTTTAATTAAAACAAAACCCACCAATTATGTTGAGGTTTATTTTGATAACCCTAAAAGTTTTTTTTTTTTTCAATCTAAAGACACTTTGCTATCTGGAAAAAGAATATGAAGGCAGAGCATTACAGTCAATGCCCATGCCAAGGTAAAGAAAGATCAAGCTACAGAATAAAGAAATGAGATTATCTTATGCTATCAACTGCAAACATACCGTGGAAGGGATGTGTAATGAGGGTAGCAGCAGAACGAGCAATCATCTCTCGAGTTGTCTAGAAACAATCAAAACACACTTCTGAAATCTAAATTAACAACACTCATATTCCTGTAAGGAATGTGGGTGGACACCCAGTAGAGGGCAAAGGACTAGGCCCCAAAGCTTTACTGTTTTGGAGTCAAGAAGCTAGCTCCAATGGGATTAATGTAATATCTTGCCATTTTGTTACACCTCTCATGGATTTCAACCTTCTGCTGTAGTAACTTTTTGAAATCTCTCTGAAAAAGAGACTTGCTATTTTCTCCAATCCCATGCACAAGAGAGAGGGTTACCTGTTTGAATAAAATTACCAGAGCTGGATTAATTCATTCATTTGGCTATGTTGAGAGTCAGTGAGGCAGCTTAGCAGTAGTGGAAATTTGGCAGTAGTGGAAATTAAACCCAGGGCCTCACACATGCTAGGTAAGTGTTCTAAGAAGCTATATTCTTGCCCCCCTTACTACTTTTTTCATACAGTTCTATCTCACTAAGTTGTTTTAGGCTGGCCTTGAACTTACTCTGTAGACCAAGCAGGCCTTAAAGTTATGCTCCTCCTGCTTCAACCTCCCAAAGTATCTGGGATTACAGGTCTGAACCATCAGGTCTGGTTGAGGCCTGATTTTGGATTATTCACTTTCTCTCATGATGACAAGTTTTGAAGAAACTAGTGTCTACACTAAACAGATGTTAGGCTTTAGATATGTACTAACATCTTAGGGACAGCAACCCTGCAACTATGGAGCCTCAGAGCATCTATCCTAAATTACCTTTATGGTTGAGGAATTTGAATTTTACTTTATGGGAAATGAACCTTGTTCAAGCTTTGGAAAAGCTCTACCACTACATCTCCAGCGTAGAGAGGTTCTGAAAGCCAAGCAAGGGGATGAGACACAAGTGGCATTTCAGCCTCAGAGTAATTACCATAAAAGCATCTGAACAAATAGGAACCAACACACAACACTTTTGTGTGCTGGGTATGGCACAGCCTTTAATCCCTGTACTCGGGAGGTAAAGGCAGGCAGATCTCTGTGAGTTTAAGGATACCCCGATCTACAGAGAGTTCCAGGCCAGCCAAGGCTACATAGTGAGACCTTATCCCAATAAAATAAATAACTAAAAGATAAAAATAAAAAATTACTTGCTACATGTTTTTGATGTTTTGTTGTTTGATTTTCAAGACAGGGTTTTTCTGTGTAGCCTTGGCTGTCCTGGCACTCACTCTGTAGACCAGGATGGCCTCTGCTTCCCAAATGCTGGGATTAAAGGCGTGTGCCACCACCACCTGGCTTGCTGCATGTTTTCAACACCACTATATGTTCAAAGCTGGGCATGGTGGTATGTTTCTGCAATTCCACACTGCAGAGGGGAAAGCTGAGGCAGGAGGATCAAGAGTTCAGAGCCACTATGGGCTGTAAAATAGACTATCAAAATAAGTAGTAAATAACAAAAAGATGCCGGGCATCTTTTTGGGTTGTGCATACCTCTAATCCTAGCACTTGGGGAGACAGAGGCAGGCAGATCTCTGAGTTTGAAGCTGGCCTGGTCTACAGAAAGAGTTCCAGGACAGTCTCCAAAACAATACAGAGAAACCCTGTCTCGAGTTAAAAAAAAAAAAAAAAAAGTATAAAATTAAGGGCTGGAGAGATGGCTCAGTGGTTAAGAACACTGGCTATTCTTCCAGAAGACCTAGGTTTGGCTCCCAGCACCTACATGGCAGCTCACAACCTGTAACACCAGTTCCAAAAAATACCTTCTGGCCTCTGCAGGTACTAGGCAGGCATACAAGCAAGCAAAACACTCACACCCAATGTAAAAATTGCCTCAGTTTTAACGACAGAGTGAGCAGTACCTGTTCCCAACAGCAGGCCATGCTCTTCTTTTGGGTTATTAGACAGCAAAGCCCAATTTAAACTGAAGATTTAATTTCACTTGGGAAGAGACCTGGAAGCACAGGACTCATGATCTTGGTTCTGTAACAAGGGGTAAATTCATCCCTTACCTCTTTGATAACTCGGTCGAAGGAGGATGAGTTTTCCTTTTGTACATTTCCAGATACTAACTCCTGGAAATCAAAAACAAAGACAGAAAGATTCATGGTTTTAAATACAAGTCTTGAAACTTATGGCTATCCCATAAGCCACCAAGCCACTGAAATGAAAGGAAAAGTCCTGGCTTTTCTCCTATGGAGGGTGGAACCGCAAGAATGTGTCAGAGACAGGGGTTCATACAGAAAGTAGCTTCAACATACCTCAGGTTTGTCGCACTCCTGGTAATGCTATAGAAGAAACAGAAATAAAGGATAACTAGAGTTATTAATTTGTCCTCTTAGGGAAGGTATTGACAGAAAATGAAAAGTACTAATTTTCTTCTACAAACCTCTCGATTTCTACTTCACATTAATCAGCTAAAAATAAGTGTCTCCAAGGTGGCACTACTGTAAAGTTAAACATACTAAACGTCCGGGGGATTATCAAATCTAGTTACTTAGCCCAGGATGACCTTGAACACAAGGTCATCCTTCTGCCTCAGCCATTCAAGTCTTGGCATTATAGACTGGTGTTACAATGCCTGGCTTGAAACTTTTTTATTTTCTTTTTTTGAGATAGGGCTTCATGTAATACAGTGCTCTGTCTGCATGTATGCCTGCAGGCCAGAAGAGGGCAACATATCTCTTTACCAATGGTTGAGCCACCATGTAGTTGCTGGGACTTGAACTCAGAACCTCTGGAAGAGCAGCAGTGCTCTTAATCACTGAGTCATCTCTCCAGCCCCCTAGCTTTGACCTTTTAAGAGGCCAATGCCAACAATGACCTTGAACTTCTGATCCTTCTGCCTCTACTTCCCAAGTGCTAGGATTATAGGCATACACTACCACACCAGTTTATGTGGTGCTGAAAATGCAGCCCAGGGCTTTGTCCATGCCAGGCAACACTCTACCAACTTAGTTATAGCCCTAATCCCTCCACTTTTAAATTTTTGGTTCAATCCCTAGTAGTGCAAAGAAAAACAAGGTGTGTGTGTGTAGAATTAACATTAACAACAATCCCCCCCCCAAGTCATCATTTACTAAATATACACATTTAATAGGGAATTGTTAAAACCAGATAGCCTAAAACCAGTTCCTGCTCTTCTCATGAAAAAAGCAGAAATACCAAATTAGGGCAAGATTCTTTTCTTTTAAAAACAACATAGAGTTGGTACTCAGTTTGAGTATCACCACTTTCCTTTCATATGTAACTGCTTCTAAAATAAGCAAGACAGTTCTCTTTTGGAGAACAGAATGCGACTATTAGACAGTGACTATTAGAGGAAATATGGCTTCTGATATATTTTAGAAAATACACTCAGGAGGCAGAGGCAGGCAGTTCTCTGTGAATTTGAGGTTAGTCTGGTCTACACAGTGAATTCCAGAACAGTTAGTGTTACATAGTGAGCTCTTGTTGTGGGAGGGGGGAGAAAGAACATAGAAAATGGGCTAGGAGAATGCATGCTTCAAAGATGACAGTTTATTATTTTCTTTGCCTTTTTTTCTCTCTCCCTCTTATTTAGAGACAGCCCTTATAAACGATAATGACCTTGAACTCTTACTCCGGCCTCTACCTTCCAAGTGCTTGGCTTACAGCTTACAGACACACCTCGGTTTTATTTTTCTAGTCTTATCAGATAAAAAAACAGGCAACATTTTTTTTTTTTGTAAAAACAATTACTGCTGGATGTGGTGGAACACACCTTTAATTCCAACACTCAGGAGGCATGAGCCTGGTCTACATAGAGAGCCCCAGGACAGCCAAAGACCACAGAGACTTTGTCTCACCCTCCCTCACCCCTCTCACCTCCCCCCCCAATAGTCTCCTCATTACCAGGCCAGTACAACACAGACTCCTGACAGCCAATGATGTTGTCTATCCTAAGGTCTTCCCACCTGACTGTGGCTTAGGGAATACAGTAGGCAACAATGCTTTATCTGTTGTTAGGCAATCTATGAGGATATGCAAGACTTTGGGGATATGCCTGCAAGAATGGGCAGAAGGCCCAAGAAGCCAAGGGCATGGGCTTTGATATTTGATCACATTGTGAACTCCAAGATTTTGTTATTTATTGGAAAAACCTGTTTCTAGTTATGGTGTGTCTCAGCCTTAGCACACACCTTTAATACAAAAGCTTTCTGCTTGAATATTGTAAAGGATAAAAGTCAACCATAGTCAAGAGGTGGAACAAGCAACCATTAGACAAGAAGTGAACAAGAAAAAAAAAAAGAGTAACAGAGTCAGAAGGACAGATAGATGCATAGGAGGTAGAAGAGAGGAACGCTGAGTTTGGGGAGAGGTTTGAGATGGCTGAGAAGGAAGGTCAGCCGGGTACTTTCTGCCTCTCTGAGCTAGCAGGCTTTCACCCCAGCATTTGGCTCCCAAGTCTTTACTGGTAAAACTGAATGATAGAGGTTTTGCTAAAAACAACACTTTCCCCTTTCGGACTGGGAAGATGTCTTTTTGAAGACATAGTGCAACCCACTGTTCCCCCTCTGTCCTCAGCTCTGCAGGCTTTTTTGCATATCTGGGTCCACACATTTCTCCCAGGCCAACTGCAACCTATATGTGTGTGTCCAGGGGACCTCAGGCATAGCTCAGCACCTTCAAGCTAGGTTCCTGTTACCAGGACCTGGAATGTCATATCAGTGGCTGCCTTCTGTGTACAATATAACATTCAGCCCTTGAAAGGCTTCAGGACACAAAGGGATAAAATGCTAACCATTGTCCTGGTGAAGCTAGGCTTATCCAGGAAGGCCTTTAGGATGCTGGAAGTCTGGTAGAAACAGTGTTCAAATTTAGAACTCAGGAACTGTTCACTTCACCTGGGTCATTCAAGTTTATAAAATCTCTGGAAATGTCCCTAACCCTAAGAGTACCTTTCACAATGCTGACAAGCAACAGCATCTACAACCCCTTCAGCCTCCGGTCCTCTAGCAGTATGCCCAACACCCTCCTGCAAGTCAGTGTCTGAGCCCAGCTGGGCAGATGTGCACACTATACATAGGCCAGGCTACCCAGCATTTCACCATTTTGAGCACTTAGAAGTAGCCAACCTTGAGTCAAATGGGACCAGCACTGGCAGAAGCTACAGAAGGCCCAGGCTAGCTTGCACAATATGCCTGAGACCACTTTCCTTGCCATGGCCACCCTCCATGATAACAATCTATACCAGAGACACAGCACATGGCACAGCATGTGTGATGGGAGGAACCTTCAAGAAGTATGGGCCTAGACTCTACTCCATTGCTGCATGGGGTCCTGGGGACTGATGCTTCCAAAAACACTTCATTACACGATTTGATCAGTTTTTGTTTTGGTTTTTTGAGATCAGGCTGGCCTCAGAAATACACCTGCCTCCCGAGTGCTGGGATTAAAAGTGTGCACCACCATGGCCCAGCCTTTTTGTTTGTTTTTAAGTTTTAAAAATGCATTCAATGAGGTGTGGTAGCATACAGCTTTACTCCCAGTACCCAGGAGACAATGACAGAGGGATCTCTGGGAATTCAAGGTCAGCCTGGTCTACATAGCAAAACCCGTCTCAAAATAATAATAAAAATAATACGACAAATAAATAATAAAAAATTCATACAATGAAGAATAAATTCAATATGCAATGTAACACATACACAACGCTAGGGAGACATCTGAGTAGGTAAAGACTTTGTTATACAAAATGAGAACCTGAGTTAGACTCCCAAGAATTCACATAAAGTCATCATCTATAATGATGAATTCCCCGAGAGCCTATGGGCCAGCTGGCCTGGTGTATAAAATAGTAAATAAAGAGACCCTGTTTCAAATGAGGTGGAAGGTAAGGACCCACACTTGAGGTTATTCTTTGACCTTCGAATGTGTACCATGACTCATTTGCTCAAACATGTACACACACACACACACACACACAAAAAAAAAAAAAAAAAAAAAAAAAACAAAAAACCAAAAACATGGAAACATATCACACATAGAAAAAAACAAATCCAACAACAACAGAAACCTTGAGATACAGAGAAGAGTGAACATAAGCAAAAATATACAACTAGTGAGGCAAGCATCCATACAGACATGACCCACACTGTGGAAAACTGCCATCATCCCTGGCCTTACATGTAGGCCCTTTTCCTGTTAAGTTCCTCCCTTTTCAGGTGCTAGAAATTAAAACCCTGCCACCGATCTGCACCTCAGCTGTAAAGTTCATTTTTCTTTCTTTTTAAAATTTGTTTTTATTATTTGTGTGTTTGTATGTCTCACAAACATATACAGAAAATCAGAAGAAAACTTGTAGGAATCAGTTCTTGCTGACTATCATTTGAGTTCTGGGAATCTGATTTAAGTCATCATGGCATCCTCACCTGCAGAGCTACCTTGATTGTGCTTTGCTTTTCTTTCTGACACAAAGGCTTACTCAGCTCAGGCTGGCTTAGTACTCAGGATGTAACTGAGACTGGCTTTGAACTCGTGATCCTTCTTCCTCCTAAATGCTAGGATTACAAGCACACACCACTATGCCTAGCAGCAGCTCTTGTTTCTGTGGCTTTGGAGGCTGTCCTGGAACTAGTTCTTGTAGACCAGGCTGGTCTCGAACTTACAAAGATCCACCTGCCTCTTCCTCCGAGTGCTGGGATTAAAGGCGTGCGACACCACCACCCTGCTTTCTTTCAATACTTTTAATAGGAAACATGTCACTAGGAAAATACTAAAATTTAAAAAATAAAAAAAAGTGTTTTACTCCTTTATTCCCCTACAACAAATAATAATATATTAAAAAATAGCTGGGCGTTGGTGGCACACACCTTTAATCCTAGCACTTGAGAGGCAGAGGCAGGCGGATCTTTGTGAGTTCAAGGCCAGCCTGGTCTCCAGAGCGAGGGCCAGGATAGGCTCCAAAGCTACACAGAGAAACCCTGTCTCGAAAAACCAAGAGAAAAACAAAACAAAACAAAACAAAAAACCCTTAAACTGTATAGGTAAATGAAACTAATCTCTATTCAGAATCTGTTTTGAAGGAAGAAGGTCCATATATCAAAGTCAGTTACCTTAATTGCACAAATTCCCTTGGTTTCTTGGGAAGAGTGGGCATTTCAATAAAATGTTTTCAAAACGGGCATATGGGCAACCACTCATAGTCTCTGCACTTAGAAGGCAGAATCAAATTCAAGGTCACCCTAAGCTACTAAGCAAGTCTGAGGCCAGTCTACGCTTCACAGAGAAATCCTGTCTTCCATCAATCAGTTAATCAATAAAAAGAAAATGTCTTTCAAGAGAAAGAAATGCCAGGTTATAAGTTTATCTTTGAAATTGCTCTTCATCATCAAAATAAACTGTGAATAAAAGGCAACCAAAAGGTATGAGAACATTAATTGATTTCCTCTCACCTGTAAAACTTTCCCATGGACCACAGTTCCAAGGACTCCCGAACACAGTCTTGGAGTTAAGCCTGTGAACAACCCACGCTTCCCATCGATGCTTGCAATGTGCTGAGCTAAGAACACAAGTCAGAGATTTAGGTTCTAGTCCCAAAACACAGTTACAAGAAATATCAAGGCAGCAGGCTTTCTATGTATTTTCCTTCAGTTACTCCAGTCTTCCATGTCAGCCATCCCAAATAAATCAAAGGCACCTACCATAACAAAAGAGACCAGGAAGCTGATATACTTGTCGTCCAAAAATATTTCGTCCTATTGTTGGAGGAAGAGGCTCATATCCCACCTTTAAAAACAAAGGAATGTATCAACACTAAGCAAAAACCCAGGAATACTTGGGCTGCAAGGTCTTGAAAAAAAGAAAATTAGGCTTAAATTTCTCTTGTGTTTGGTGCTGAAATGAACCCAATGTCCATCCTTATGCTCTATGTCTCTATCAGGAAGCTACCTTCTTAGCCCCATTATTTTTTTTTTTTGGGGGGGGGGTGAGGCAGGGTTTCTCTGTGGCTTTGGAGGCTGTCCTGGAACTAGCTCTTATAGACCAGGCTGGTCTTGAACTCACAGAGATCTGCCTGCCTCTGCCTCTGCCTCCTGAGTGCCCGTAATTTTATTTTACAAATAAAAATGCAGTTTATGTTTCTTAAGGTTTTGGTGAAGTACTACCCTTGTCAGTTTTTTGTCCTGTTGTATAGATTAATAATGGGTTCAATCAACTCCAAGTTGCCCTTTGATTTGAAGTCTACAGAGTAAACCATGTAACTAAGATAGATTATCAAACTGAAAACAGAATAAGGAAACCATTGTTTCAGGAAAGCCTAGTTTACCAATAAGGCTGACAAATATTTTTTATATATTTTTTCTTTTTTTGGTTTTTTTGAAACAGGATTTCTCTGTGTAGCCCTGGCTGTTCTAGAACCAGTTCTGAAGACCAGGCTGGCCTCACTCACAGAGATTCACCTGCCTCTGCCTCCTAAGTGCTGGAATTAAAAGCGTGCCCTATCACCACCCAGCTTTACATTTTTATATTTGAATAAAATGAGAAAATATTCACTGAGCCAGCTTATATGGTTAACTAGACAACAAAGGCAAATGCATATAGCTAGGTAATTCACTTAGGAAAATAATTACAAGCTAGGTCTATGTTAAATGTAGACTCATTAGCAATATACAGAAAGCCATAAAAATTAATGATTGCCATTTTATTTACACAATATATTCAGGAATTGTAGTACCAAAGGGATACTTGAGGGGGAAAAAAATACAGGACAAATTGGGCTCTTTATTGTTGCAATTCCTTCATCTGTGCTAATACTCTCCCTCAGCTTACAGAAAAAAAACCAAAACAAAAAAACCGCTACCATGCCAACTTTTAAAACAGTTTTTGGGAATTTCACCAAACCCCTGAGATACTTGGCAACACACACGTATTGTGAAATCAGAATTTAGGGTATCAAGTTGTTGAGGTAAGAACACTGAATGTCAGTCACTAAAAGACACTGTCCTTTTGAGAACTACTGAATAGTGGGCTCATACATGTACTGCCAAATGCTGTCACTCATCTCATGCAATTTCGTCCCAAATGTGCCTGTTTCAGACAAAGATTTCACCCTTTGCAGTTCAACTTTTACAATAAAATCTGAACCTATGTCAGTTAACTTGGTAATAATTTGTATGAGTAATAATCAAAAAAATGAGGTCCACCCAGTCTTGCGCCCCCCCTCCCCCCAGGATTCTCATGCCTGCTTCCTTCCATGTCACAGGCATGGGTAAGTATGCCAACTATCAATAGATGCCTCAAAAACAGCCTGCTCATCACTGGGAAACTTAGAACAGTGACTGAAAATACGATCCCCAGCTAAAAGTAGGCCTCCTTACCCACGAATATAAAATATCACACAAGAACTAGTCTCAAGCTGATAAGAAAGTACGCTAAAGGGAGGAAGAGGCACTGGGGAGTTTGATGTTACGTTTAAACTCGCTAAACTCTTTAAGCAGAACTGATTTCCAGTTCTGACCAATGTGATTTTCATTGTCATGAACCACATGGGCTGCTGTGAGAGCGCTCAATGGATCCTTAGGAAAACTGACTTCATTATTACTTCTCAATGCGCTCCTTGTGCATATCCGGGTATCTGGTGTTGGAATCTCCGAACGGAACACAAGTAGAAACAGCAAAATGGAAAGAAAAAGCGAATAAAAACAATAAGATGCTGCCTTTCCTAGAATTTCAAATTCGTCCTTAAGATGAGTATTTCACGTCTAGAGTATGAGAAGGAGTGGACGAGGTGAGGTGAATGTCAGCCAATTTCAGAGGGGCGACAGGGAAAGGGTTGGGAAGCCTTCGGTGCGACTGACCAGGATCAACCTCAGGGAAGGAAAAACAAAGTTGAGAAGAGCCACCGGGCAAGGAAGGGCAGGGTGGCAGTTGGCTGCGGAGAGGGAGCGGGCCTGCCCGGGGCGAGCCTCGGGGTGTTTTTCTAGAGGGGCCGCGAGGCCGTGGAAGTTGTCCCTGAGGGAAGGAAAGGGCAGCATCGCCGGAGGGTGAAGGCCTGCGCCGCAGAGTCAATCCACTGGCGCCGAGGGCGGTGGCGACCCGAGAGGACGCTGACGGGAAGGGCAGGACGACGACTCATACCTGGATGAGCACTTTCACGTACATGAGCGGCTGGGGCAGGGTG